AGAGAGAGAGAGAGAGAGAGAGAGAGAGAGAGAGAGAGAGAGAGAGGTTGCCATGGTCAGGATGCACCTGGTGTTAGAGGCAGACTGATTAAGAAACGTTGCAGTAATCAGTGTTTTTGAACAAAACTCCTTCCTCCTTTCAACAAAAAGCAGGAGTCTGAGTGCCAAAATATGGATACCGTGAGAAAGATAAGACTCTGCAGAACGCGTTGATGTGGTTTTTATTTTTGTGGTGTTAAAAATGTGAGCTCCAAAGCAATATACAAAACTGGTACCGTCTGCTTTCTTTGAGAAATTAGTGGTGAGCTTTAACATGGAGTCTAATGGAGCAGTTGGTTGGAGTTCATGTCGCTCTGCGGCTCTTTGAGCCAAATGTGTAAGTCCGTTGGATTCCATGGACACTTTACTGCGACCGGTACATGCGATTCGGTGGCAACCCATTAAGGTTTTGTAAATGAATAACGATTCAAAAGTTGTTTAATTTAATTCGTTTTTTCTTACAAATTGAGAATGAAAAGTGCAAAAAAAATTCTCAGCGGTATTGTTGAAATATTATAAAATGTTGAAATCTTTGGAAATACAATATGTTACATTTTTTTGTAAAAGTTTATTTGATACAATGTTTTCAATTCTTATTTATTTATTGTTTATCAGGGAATCTTTAGGAGTCCAAGAAGATCTGATTTCAGTATTTTCAATAAAAACAAAACAGAACTTTTGGTTTTTAAACATATTTCATTTAATGACTAAATATTCATTTAAAGTATCATCTTCATTGACTTCACAAAAAGAAAAATAATACATTAATATAATAAAACACCGGTAACACGATGAGAACACGTAACAACATGACAGCAGCATAAACAAAAAGTTATAAAGTTACAGGAAAGTGTTTTCAAATGTCACAGAAAATAAATACTCTTTAATTGTTTGTAAACCCTGAAGTTTAAAGATATTCATTCAAAAAACGGTTACAATGTATTCAAATGTAACATTATGTTGTATACGTTTGTGCTTCCATTCATTTTGTGAGACAAATTAACATAATTCACAGTTCTGAACAAATCAATTAATTTTTCTTCATCTAATATCAGAGGAGCAACGAAGTAAGACTCAGTTTAATATAATGGTACATTCAGGACGGTGCACTCAGAGATACGGAGCGTGGAGTGCACCGCCAGAATTTAATAAATAAAAAATATATATTATAAAATGAATGAACTCATAAAAGTATAAAAAAACAGTTGGTAGAACTTCAATTCCTTTATAGGCAGACTGCTTACACATC